CAGCACCACATACAAATGAATAAAATAAAGATCCATCAACAACTAAAAAAAAAAAAAAAAATCCTTCCAAGGCAGGCATGTAATCCTAGCTGCTCAGGAGGCTGAGGCAGGAGAATCACGAATTCAAAGCCAGCCTTGGTAAGTAACTCAGTGAGATCCTGTCTCTAAATAAAATGCAAAATAAAGCTGAGGATGTGGCTCAGTTGTGGAGTGCCTCSGAGTTCTTTCCCCTGTACCAAAAAAAAAGGAGAGGGTGCTGGGGGTGTATCTCAATGGTTAAGTGCCCTTTAGTTAAATCATCAGTACAAAAAACAAAAACTTGAACATCATCCAAACTGCAAAAATGAACAAAAATCCAGGTTTAGTGCCTTTCTTTGTCCCTCCCACCTTCTTGAAAAGATTAAGATAAACATCACAAAATTATCTCTGCTTCTTGACAGTATTAACTCCRGAGCAAAGCTCCTTTCCGGAACCTGTAATGCCAGATTTGTGGGACTCCAATAGACCTCCAGGAGCCCAATCTGATGCAACCACACAAGAGTCTTTATTGCAAGCTCCAGCCTGGACTCACAACCGTTTCCTATGCAGTGGTCCCAAGGAGTGAGTCCTGGTCCTTTGTTCAGTGAGATTTTGTAGGTTTTGGGGGATACTCTATGTGTCACAACATCACACAGCAAATCATTTCACACGGCCGGAAAATCAAACAACAACTCTTAACTTTGATTAGCACATTCACTGGCGGGAACAAATTGGGTAGGGGTGATTGGTTAGTACAAGAGGAGGATTCGTTTGWACAGATTAGTTTAAGCCACGAGGGGTGAACTGCTAAACTACATGGTTTCCCAACATGTTATCAACCACCATAAACTACTGGGGGCGGGGGGGTCATCTGGCATCCCAGGTATTTTCTCTGTCTCATGCTGATTAGTGGTTGCTAGGGGGTTGCTCTGGGTCCTCACCTAGCCTAACTGAGTCAGGACTCCTGGCACCACAGATCTCTCCTGTTATTTGCAGACAAACAACTCAGCAGGGTGGGTATGTGCCTAGGAGGGCTCTGTGGGTTTTTCCAAGAACAAGGGTCACGCCCCCTTCCTTGGACAGGCTTTGAGGTAGAAGCTGTTTTAAAAAATGGAGTCACATCAGTTTCTCAAACCTTCCCCCAATGACTTAAAGCAACACTAAATCCTTTAAGAATCTCTTTAGATGAGCCACTCCCTCACTTTATTCAGTCATTAAATCCATCTTTATTCTATGTGGTCTTCGCTGAAGGACACTGACAATGTCATAAATACTTAAGGCAGATTGGATGATGGCGCTATTCAAGACATTTTAAAAATGAGGCCTAATTGCCAGGCACAGTTGCACACACCTGTAATCCCAGCAATTGGGGAGGTTGTTCAAGGTCAACCTCAATAACTTAGGGGAACCATCAGCAACAAAAACACGAGGATGTCTTGGTGGTAAAGCACCCCTGGGTTCAACCCCAGTATCCTCCCCCCAAAGGCATGATCAATAATGAAGGTGGATCAACTGTACTAGGCTGTCTACCAAGCTTAATCAAGAGGCATTGCCTGTCACTTCTGGATGTTCCAGGGGGAAGCTAAAAGTACCTTTCACAAGCATTCTGAGGTTTTCGCTGATCCTCCATGCTGTTCCCTCTAAGGCATCACCAAGTTCATTTACATTAAAACACAGAAGGAACTGACAGTTATATTGAGTGCATGTRTGCTGGGCTGTGTTCCAAGGGCTCTAGATATTTTCTTCATATTTTTGAGGTGCTACTGAGTGACAGAGAGCCATATGTATGCAGAGCATGCGCCCTACCAGTGTTACTCCCACCAAGTCCTAGAGGCTTTAATTCATTCACTCCTCACATCGGCTCCCTGAAGATAGATACTGTTGATATTCCGTTTCATTACCGAGGAAACTGAGGTACAGAGACTTTACTTGAGGACCGAGGATTCGAACACCTGTCACACTAGAGACTGGCTAGGGCTGGGTATCCTCAAGCCGCCCGACCGAGTCTGGGGCAGCCATCTTGCTTGTAGTCTGCAACGACCACAACTCCCAGCATCCCTCGAGGCGGCGGCTCTCCTTCCACACACAACAAATCCCGGCGTGCCCCTGGGCGGCCCGGGGTGGAGGGTTCTAGAAGGCGTGACGTGGGGTCGAAGCGGGCTTGGAGGCGGGCGCCTCTCGGCAGTCGCAGTGGCGGCAGCTGCCGGGCCTGGGGACGCGGGTGGCCGGGGCCGCGGTCGCAGCTTCCTCGACTCTCCGGCCATGGCAGCGCTTGGCCGGCCCTTCAGCGGCCTCCCCTTGAGCGGCAGCTCGGACTTCCTGCAGCCGCCGCCGGCCTTCCCCGGCCGGGCCTTCGCGCCGGGAGCCGACGACTCGGAGCTGGCCCCCCGGCCGGGACTCCGCGCCGYCCCGAGCTGCCCCGGCGGGAGCGCGGCGCGCGGACGGTGAGGAGCCCGGCGGGCGCGGGGCGGGCGGGCTCGTTAACCCTCCCCAGCACCCTCCGCGGGAGGCTTCCCAGCCCCGCGTACGGAGGAGGAGCTGATCCCGGAGACGTTAACCGTAGATCGCCGGAGGTCGCCCAGCCCGGGCATCCAGGCGGAGCCTCGGGCCGGCTGCGCCCCGGAGAAGTGAGACTTTTCCAATTGGAACCTGGCGACCTGAGCCCGGGTGTCCCCTCGGCGTACTCGGCGCGCTCCCCTTGCCGACCGCAGCGCGGCCGCAGGTGGTGACAACTTTCAGTGCCTCTCGGACGCTCGGTTCCTCGTCGGCCGTGCGGGGACAGACATGGGTCCGGAAGGAGTGCCGAGCACGCAGCCTGCACCGACGGCCCCCAGTGTGGTCTCCCTAATCTCCCATTACCTTGACAAAACGGCAAGGTTCCGTGTCAGTGTCTCTGGTTATGTCGGGACCACCCAGCATTACCCGACTGACCTCGTGACCTGTCTCCATCCCACTCAGCAAGGAAGGGGACATTGGGTGTGTGGCGGGTGAGCAGGATTGTTGGCTGGAGAGAGCGGGATGCTGGAAACTGAAGCCCACACAGGTTGCTCAATTGACTGGTTTTTGTTTGTTTCAACAGTGTTTCCGTTCACTGTAAAAAGAAACACAAGCGAGAGGCGGAGGATGATGAGTAAGTCTCAGGGGCCGTTTGTTCATTTTATGGTCACTGTTAATTTAAAATAGGTCTGTCCTAAACTCCGTTTTAAGTGAAAAGGTGAAACAGGTGTGCGTCTGGAAGCAGGCAGAAGAAACTGATAACATGGGTTTCCTTTTAGGCAGAGAAAAGGGTGACTGGCATATCAGAGGCAAGCTTCACTCTGTAACGAGTTGTAATGTTTGGATTTTAAACTATGTTAACATTATTAGGATTACAGATCCAAGTAAAAGAACCAAAGGATACATATTGAAAAGTCCTACGTGTACTCTCAGTTCTCCCCAGAGGCATCCCTGTTACCTGTTTCTTCTTTAGAAGATAGACTCAACATTTATAAGTTTGTAATTGTATATGCCTTTGTTTTTTGTTTTTTGTTTTGCATAGATACTGCTCACAGTGCATAACACATTGGTCCTTCATTTGACTCTGCTGTAGCTTGTTCCTTATCAGCACATAAAGTTCTACCCTTTTTTTTTTTTTTTGTCAGCGGTTATATGCAGTTCTTTTGGAGGATTAGGTGTAGATAACCAGTCTCTAAGTTGTTTCTATATTTTGCTCTTATGAAGGAGTCTACCATATCTATTCTTTTGAAGTTCTTTGTGTGTTTGCAAGTGGGTGAATGGTTGTTTTGTTGTTTTGCCCTGCTGCAGATCTAACCCAGGGCCTTGTGCATGCTAGGCAAGTGCTCTATCACTGAGCTACATCCCAGCCTGATGAATGGATTCCTTGATGTGGAATTACCGGATCTTAACGTGTGTGCATTTTAAGTTTTAAAAAAGAGTTGTTGACAGTTTATACTCCTGTTAATAGTGGGAATGCCTTTTTCTCCATCTTCTCACTGAACTGTATTTTCAAACTGTTTGATTGCTGCTTAACTGATAGGTGAAAAGGTGTAACTCATAGTCAGTCTAATGGAAAAAAGAGTAAGAAAGTGCCCCAAGAGGATATCCAAGTGACCAACCAAATGAAAAGGTGTTCAATCTCATTAGTCTTTTGGGAAATCATATTACGCTTTAGAGGATTCTGCCACTAGTTATTGAAGCAGATGTGGAGCACCAGGAACTCTCAAACACTATGAGTGAGGTTGTAAATTGGTGTAAACACTTTGGAAAACARTTTGGCATTCTCTCACAAAGTCAAAGGCACATATATCCTTTTACCCAACAATTCCCTCCTGAATGTAACTCACAGAAGTTCATACATAAGCAGGAGGCCATTACAAGAAAGTTCCCAGCGTCCTTGTTCATGATAGCTTAGGACTGGAAATAATCCCAGTGTCCTGTAGAGTGAAGTAGATGAAACAAATTACAAATTCATACAGTAGAATTCTTTTTTTAAACAAAATTTTTAGTTGTAGATGGGCACAATACCTTTATTTTATTATATATTTGTATGTGGTGCTGAGGATCAAACCCAGTGCCTCACCTGCTAGGCAAGTGCTCTACCACTGAGCCATAACCCCAGCCCCAGAGTTTTGTATCTTACATGATATTTTTATTGATGTTTATTTTGTAATTACTCATTAAATTGTGTTTGATATACTTTATATAGGATTTTATTATTAAAAGTGAAAGAAATTGAGTCACATGTTTTAATTTTACTGAACATCTTTTTCACTTAAGCTATTTGTTTCATTTTATGTAGATTGTTCCTATTTCTTCGAATTTTTTATTGGCTTATTGGGGGTTTTTCTCGATTTATAAGAAGTCTCTGTTAAGGAAATTTATAGTTTATATGTATATTGTAAAAGTTGACCTAATTGCCAGGCGCCACCCACCTATGATTCCAGCGACTTGGGAGGCTGAGACAGGAGGATCAAGAGTTCAAAACCACCCTCAGCAACTTAACAAGGCCCTAAGCAACTTAGGGAGACCCTATCTCAGAAGAAAAAGGACTGGAGTTGTGGCTCAGTTGTTAAGCGCACTTGGGTTCAATCTCTTGTACCAAAAAATAAAAATTAAAAAAAAAAAAGTTTACCTCGGCTCTACACAGTGGTGTATGCCTGTAATCCCAGCAACTCAGGAGGCAAAGCTCCCCTGGATTAAATTCCTAGTACAAAAGAAAAATTCTTGCCCCAAATTTGCCCTTCATTTTTTAACTTTGCATGTGAATTTCTTTTTTTTTTTTTTCCCGTGCTGGGGATTGAACCCAGGGCCTTGTGCATGTGAGGCAAGCACTGTTCAAACCGAGCTATATCCCCAGTCCCTCTTTTTCTTTTTCTTGGTTTTTTTCATCAGACACCTTCTAAGTTTGATACAGTTTTATGGAACAGTAGATTTAAAGGTTGCCTTAGTTTAAAAGCCACTAAACCAGATAATATTTGTTCTTTCTTGAAATTGCTGTGAATGATGCAAAAATGTCTTTTTCTTTGTGGTGCTGGGGATTGAAACAAGCATTCTACCACTGAGCTATAGCCTCAGCCCACTTTTGGCTTTTGCTTAGTTCCAGTGCTTAAATACAATAAAAATTTTAATGTGTGGAAACTGTCAGGCATGGTGATCCACACTTGTAATCCTAGCTRCTTGGAAGACTGAGACAGGAGAATCATGAGTTCAGGACCAGCCTGGGGAACTTTACGAAATTGTCTCAAAAAGGCTCAGTGGTAGAGCATTTGCCTAGCATGTGCAAGGCCCTGGGTTCAACACCCAATACCACCCCCCAAAAAAMCCCACTTTTTATGAATAGAGAGACTGAGGCCTTGGGAGGAAGTGTGGCTAAATAGAGTCAGGGTCAGCACTAAGTTGCTGAGCTGATTTTGAGCTTGTGATCCTCCTCCCTCCACCTCCCAAGCTTCTGGGATGATAGACATGCACCACCATCTCAAGAGAGCATTATTACTTGGCAGATTTTATATTGACAGAGACTTTAGTGTTGATTTTCAGTCCTTAGCAAGTCTTAAAATACATGCAACTTCCTTTGACCCTTGATTTAGCAAATCATAAGCTGTGGTAGCCATTAATGATTTTTTTTGGTTACAGAGCTGTGTTCTSGTCTTGAGATTGCACTTGAGGATGCTCAGGCAAAAAAGTACTAAATACTTAGAACGAATAGGGCCACTTGTCTATTTTACTTGCTTCAGATAAACACTGGGCATACCATAAACTCTTGCAAATACAGGTTTACAGTAAAAGCTTGAAAAAGCAGTTGAACTTTTTGAAGGAGGTAGATCGATGTAGTGAAAATGACATAGAGGTAGGATTCAGGAACTCTGGGATCTGGACCCCAAGGTRCAACTCATTACCTTACTGTGATACTTTGGAGGGGCCAGTTTAACTTTTCTGTGTCCTAACTTCCAAATCTACAAAAGGAGGAAGTTGGGTTTGTTGAATTTTAAGGTCTCTGTGAAATACAAATTTGTCCAGAAAATAGAGGAGTATGTTACAACATAAGAGAAAAGTGGACCCCATTGTTATCAGGGACATTTTGTGACATTTTGGAGGAACTAAAAAATCAGTGATGTCACCTGCACTTGTAATACTTGGAACATGCCAGGCATACATTTTTGCCCKAAGGAGATATAGGCTGTATGCCAGCCTACTACTGTGTGTTTGAGGGAACAGCAGCAATTAACAAAGTATGGCTGGTTCTGAATTGCTGTTTTGTCATTTTTGGTTTCTTTGCTTCCTGCTTGACCTTTCCAGAACCAAATAACTAGAGACAATTTTTTTTAATTTTTTTAATTTTAGTTGTGGATGAACCTTTATTTTTATTCATTGATTTGTATGTGGTGCTGAGAGTCAAACCCAGTGCCTTACATATGCTAGGCAAAYGCTCTACTACTGAGGCACAACCCCAGCCTCTTTTTTTTGTCAGGGGTGGGAGGGTACTTGGGATTGAACTCGGGAACACTTGACTACTGAGCCATATCCCCAGCCCTATTTTGTATTTTATTTAGAGACAGGGTCTCACTGAGTTGCTTAGCACCTTGCTTTTGCTGAGGCTGGCTTTGAACTCAGAATCCTCCTACCTCAGCTTCCTGARCCACTGGGATTACAGGCATGTGCCACCTCTTTTAAGTTTCCTCATTGAATGCTTGTAATCTTAATAGGTAAAATCTTGCTGATGCTTAGTTGGTGAAGAACAGTAGAAGTGTCTCAGGGAGGCTGAGAGTCACAGGCAGGGAAATGGATAACTTTCTATCTTTTATTAACACAATGTCAAAAAAATAATTTAACCAAATAAAGATTTTGGTTACAGTTAGAGATGATTGGGGTTTTATTGAATTTCCTTCCTTTTTTTTTTTTCCTCCTTTCTTTTTCTCAGGTGTCCAGTAAGAAAGAAACGACTTACTGAAGCAGAACTTTGTGCTGGTCCAAATAATTGGATTCTCTGTACGCATCAGGATGTAGAGGGTCATGGAGTAAATCCATGCACTAGTGGTGGCCTTTCGGTACCTGGAATGTTGGATGCTGTTTTTGAAGAAATGGATCAGACATCTGGAGAACCACAATGTGAAGTTGCCCGAAGGAGGCTTCAGGAGATTGAGGACAGGTAAGTRGACAGCACACGTAACTAACTTGCTGCTGCTCCTTTATGTCACTCCTCTTTTAAGCTAGTCGAGTTAACATTTGGTAATAACTATGATCCTCAGCCTCTCAGGAAGACTATAAAGATCAGGGAATCCAAAGTGTACCCTTTAAATGTTAAAGTGAGTTGTCATAGAACTGTACTAAACATTTTTATTTACAATCTATAAATATTTATTTTGGTTTATGAAGTAGTTCTCTGGGACATGTTCTTCATATTTTACTCCATTGTTTGTAAAACTTTTTTATTAAATGGAATGTTAAACAACTCTTCCATACATACTTTTCCATTGACATCATTTGATCTTTTTGTTTTTATTTTTTGTACTATAGATTTAACCCAGGGACACTCAACCACTGAACCATCTCCTCAGCCTTTTTTAATATATTTGTTTTAAATATTTATGTTTAAATAATTATTTTAAATATTTATGTTTAGGTGGACATAATATCTGTATTTTACATTTATGTGGTACTAAGGATTGAACCCAGTGCCTCGTGTGTGCTAGGCAGGCGCTCTACCCCAGCCACATCCCCAGCCCCGCTTTTTTTATATTTAGAGACAGAAATTGCTGAAGCCTGCTTTGAACTTGAGATCCTCCTGCCTCAGCTGCTCTAGTTGCTGGCACGTACCGCCGTACSTGGCCCATCTTTGTGTTAAACTGAGGTGTAGCCTAATTTGATCTTTTGCTGTAACACCTATTGCTTTTATCTTGTTTATTTTTGAAATGTTGTCTAGTTTCTAGAAGAATATGTAATAACTTGACTGAATATTTTTTTCTTTCCTTGCTCCTGCCTTAATTTATTTAGAATAATTGACGAAGATGAAGAAGTCGAAGCTGACAGAAATGTTAACCATCTCCCCAGTCTTGTCCTTTCTGACACCATGAAAACAGGTTTGAAGAGAGAATTTGATGAAGTCTTTACAAAGAAGATGATTGAGTCTATGTGAGTTTTGATATCTGGTTTCCATTTAATTATGATCTTGAAAGGAAAACTCAGTATCTAGTCTAGACACTGTTCATCCTGTCCTAGTCAGCTCTTCACCTTCTCCTCACCAGGCAAGTGAGGAGCAGAGTGGGTTTATATTCATCGCAGGTTGGAGACAGGATTTTTCTTAGTTGATTGTGGGTGAGCACAGTATTGTGCAAGCAGAGTTTGAAGTATGTAGGAGAGGCTACCTTGCTGCCTTCCTCCTGGGTTTGTTCTTAAGCTCTGAAATGCACTGCAGTTTAATATTTGTGAAAGGRAAAACTGACAAGAGAGTTCATTCTCTTAAATTCTCATGGTAGGATATAGGAACCTAATTTTGAAACTTCTGGTTTATCTGGTTCTGTTTTTCAGAAACACCATAGAGACCTAGGCAGTAAAGAAAATAAAGTGTCCCAGGATTCCAAATAGTTATCACAAAGGCCACAAACCAGAGCCCATATTCTTGGCTAAGAATGTAGCCTCTCAGGGCCTTTAGCAGAGCTCTTTTGCTCTTAAWTTAAGACATAGTTTAAACCAGGCCACACACCTGGAATCCCGCTAACTCAGGAGACTAAGGCAGGAGATCACAAGTTTGAGGCCAGCTTTGGCAATTTAATGAGACCCCGTCTGAAAATAAAAACCAAAAGGGGTTGGGGTATGACTCAGTGGTAGAGTGCCCTGAGTTCCATCTCTAGKACCATAAGGGAAAAAAAGTAAATCATGTTTTTTTTTTTTTTTTTTTAATATTTATTTATTTAATTTTTTTAGTTTTCGGAGGACACAATTTGTTTGTATGTGGTGCTGAGGATCGAACCCGGGCTGCACGCATGTCAGGCGAGCGCACTACCACTTGAGCCACATCCCCAGCCCGTAAATCATGTTTTAATAAACTTAGTTTTCTCGTTGTCTAGATTATCAGAGTAGAAGCAGAGAAAGAGCAAGTGAGAACAGAACAGACTCACTCCTGGTAGAGGAGTAGTGACTATAGCAGAGGTCGAGGAAGGAAAACTGGGATGCAAACACAAAAACCTAAAAACAAAGTGGCCTGGGACCCATTAATATAAAAACTAATGGTGGGGCTGGAGTTGGAGCTCGATGGTAGAACACTTGCCAGGCATGTGTGAAGCCCTGGGTTTGAGCCTCAGTACGGCATATGAATGAATGAATGAATGAATGAATGAATGAATGAATGAATTAAAAGATCCATTTACAACTAAAAAGAAAAAAAAAAGTAATGATTACCTCCATAATCCTGTAGTCCCTGAGCCTGAACAGTCTCAAGTGATTATTATATATTGCATACAGTAGTAGACAAGTTCTAAAGTACCATTTTAGTATTGTCTACAAAAGACCATGTATACACTTGGTACCCAATGAAGGTGAATTTTGGGTGTCCAAAAAAGCCTCATAGGATGCTAGTCTCCTTGATGCTAAAGAGATAAGGCACTATTGCCTTCTGACACTGRGGTTCAACTGTTGCTTGGTGTTAGATCACAGAGCTTTGCAATAGCGCCCTGGCTTGAGTTTATAATTAACTTCGAGTATTGAGGGGAGACTAAATAGTTTAGCCAAAAGTAAGCAGGTCACCTTGCCCTCGAGCCTGAAACAGAGCACCTGCTGCTCTTGGCAGTTTTCCAGAAGCTAGCCTTTGGGGTTGTCCTTTATTGTGTTGTATTTTTGCTTTATTTGCCTTGGGTCCCAGAAACTTGCACTACCACAGGGTTTGGGAGAATATGTGATTGAATGTGCATGACAGATTATTTTGGCTTAACTGCAAAGCATTATCCTTTATAACTGTACTAGGCAAAAGGCATGTGAGATACTTTAATATGTTGGTCCACTGTTTCATTTTTGTTTATAATGATTTGCTATAATTCACCCATAGGGCTGAGGGTGTGGCTCAGTGGTAGAGTGAGTGCATTGCATGCTTGAGGCTCTGGGTTCAGCATTGGTAGGGTACAGGAGATTGTTACCCAAATCTGCCATTAAAAATATAATAACATTAGTCAGGCATAATGGTAAACACCTGTAATCCCAGCCACTCAGGAGGCTGAGGATCACAAGGTCAGGGAACCTCAGCAACTGTCTTAAAATAAAAAAGAATTGAGGATGTAGCTTAGTGATAACATGTCTCTGGGTTCAATACCCCACCCCTCACCAAAATTACATCGACTCTGTTTTCTACATTGGATGTTTATATTGCTTTGTAATCATAGCATCAGTACAACTAGTTGGTTTGGTTAAGAATATATATAGGATTGGGGATATAGTTCAGTAGTAGAGCACTTGTCTTGCACATGTGAAACCCTAGTTGTTTGGTCCCCCAGTTGCCCCCCCAAAAAAAAAAAAATTACAGAACTGTTGAGATTTTATGTATTTTAGTGCCTTCCTGATAAAAATCTATTTTGTATTTTAGGAGCCGTCCTTCCATGGAGCTTGTGCTCTGGAAACCTCTCCCTGAACTCCTTTCTGATAAGCCAAAGCCATCATCTAATGCTAAGAACTACACGGGAGAGAGCCAAACTAAACATGCATCTGCTGGCACTGCCTTCCCGCAGAGGACTGAACTGTTCTTGGAACCTCGGCAAACAGGGATGCCTCTTTACACTAGTTTGGAAACAGCTGCTAGCACAGAAGAAGAGATGGAACTCTAGAAACCAGTTTCTACACTACAGTTGTCAAATTTAGAAGGCTCCTGTGTTTAGTGATGAGCCTACTTGCTTAGTATAGGGACTTGAAAGTTTTATGAAACGGGTGTAATAATATCTCCACCTGTGACTTGGGGTGGGACTCTCATTTTGGGTAGCCATTTATTGACTTCAACTTTTTGCCAAGGAAGCTTGTCTTAAGGGAAAAGTACCTAGCAGGCTTATTAAAGGAGTGTTAGTCTCCTCAAAGGCAAGTATAGAAGCTGTATGTATGTGTAAGGGTGACTGAAGTCATCTGTCACTTTGTAAGCCATTCATAAACTTGGAGAACATTCTTGAGTAGAAAAAGATGAGAAAGAGGGAGTCACAGCATAGTCTGTGGATTTGAGCTATTTACAGCGGGGACTATATGTGATTGGGAGCAGGAGGAAAGAAAGCATTAGCTTAAGCCTCTTCCTAAAAAATTTAACAGAGGCTATGAAATGTGTGTATTAGTTGTCAATTCAACATAGCTGTGTTGATTATATAGCCAGCATGTGACTGGCTATAAATAGCATGTGGCTCTCTGTGCCTCAGGTAAATGCAATGAAAATACAAAGAAAAGGTTTTTTCTTTCTAATGTTGCTCCTTGGTCTCCCTTGCAGAGTTGATAAACCAGGTTGTTCCGCAGTGTTTACAGCTTAATTAACTTTGATAGTTAAAAAGATTGTGAGCTAACCCATCTGTAAACTGCCTATGGGAGAAGCAAGCATCCTTTAATTAATCCTGAGGAAGTGCAGTGTCAGCTGAACCCAGCATTGATAACCTCTATAGTTTAAAAAAAAAAGGCAAGATAGTATTAAGAAGTTGAGTTGTTAAATGTTAATTTCAAAAACAGTGAATGATTAATTGAGAATATATGGGCAGGTGACATTGAGATTTACTGAAATAGCCAATTTGTCTGGTGCTTAAATTATTGTGCAGTAAGCCTACAAGTTAATAGAGGATAGCTTCCTGCTAGCAGGAAATCTTTATCTTCTTGAGTACCTAAACCAGGCTCAAGATGTCCTTTGGGAATAGCCAGGATTAAAGTTCTTAATTTCTCAGGAAGAGCTCTTATTTGTGGCAAGGACTCCATGCAAGGTAAAATGACAATTTCTTCATTGCTACAGAACACTCACTAGGCGTTATTAAATGAGTGTAATACTGGCCCTTTTATCACCCAACAGGAGACCACCCCAGTTCTTATTTTTTTGGTTTCTTCTCCCTTTGTAAGAAAGAGATACCTTTTGTAGAAAAAAATTGGTTTATGCCAAGTAGAGGTGAATTTATAGAAACCAGCTTCCAGGCATTTTTAAAACCCATGCTGAAATCCCTCCCCTTGTTACAGATGGTGTAGAAGTTACAAGTCTGTTAGACTGTTTCTTCTCTTGCCTGTTGTTTCTGCTTTCTCTATTTCTGTCTGGATAGTCAGGAAAAGATTTAATGTTTAATATTTAAACAAAATATTTAATGTCTACACAGTAAAATTATTCAAACTTCAAACCAGTATTGAAACCAGTTGGAAACCAGCTAATAGTTTCTTAATCTCAAACTTAGAGATGAATGTAAACTGTATTCTGTTGAAATGTGCAAGTGTTTGATTCATGCAGTTTGAAAAACTCCTGCCTTGAGGTCATTGTTTAATGGGACCAACTTGTAAAGTTTATAGCCTTAAAGAAATCTCTGTGCTAAACGTTTGTTTTAGTACAACTCAAAAGCATGAAGGGACTTCCTAGGGTTTGGAGTTAGTCCCAGTGTAGGGTGGAAAGGCAGATGGCAGCTTTCCAAAGACASATCCAAAACACACCAAGATTATCTTCTGTGGGAATTGTCGAAAGGCCTCTGATCGGGGTCTGCACCATGAGAAGGGAGGCTCTAATACAACGGTAACATGGGGGACAATTGAGATTCTGTTAATTAAAATCCAAGCATTTGTTTCTGAGTCAAGTTATCTGACAAAATTATTTCTGCAGGAAAATGGATGTTTTTGCTCATTTTTGGACTTTTATATTCTTGCGTATGTTTGTACAAAAATTTTCTTCATCATCCTTGTGGTGCTTATTCATCTGAGCCATCTCCACCGCCCCARTACATTTTATTTTTCTTTTGTAGCATAAAGCTTTTGCTTTTGTCTTCAGGTTTCTCTTGGGAATTAACAGATCTTTTCGTTTTGTACAGTTTTTGCGGCATGGATCAAACATTGGCTTACGATGCTAATGTGTGAAGAGAAAAAAAAATAATCTAAAGCAGGTGAGCTTTAATGAACAAATGTATATTTTCCTCTGAGTTTGAATAGGATGTGTGCGTGTATGCGTGTGTTTTGTTTTTTTTTTTAATTTGAAGAAAGTCCAGTTCTCACAAATATTAATCAGTTTTTTTTTTCAGTGCTACTCATTCTAGAACCAGGTACAATGTAAAATTTAGAAAAATTAAGAAGGTAGGGGTTAGAACCATGAGAAAAATTTACCAGCAGGTTCATTTGTTCTTTTGGATCTGGAACTTGGTTTTGTTTTTGGTGCAGTACTAGAAAAGTTCTGGAAGATGCTGTCATTTTTACTTTAAAATGAGAATCTGGTGTTTCTGTATTTTATCATTTTCAATAAAACTTCTTAAGTGTTTTGGACTTTTTGAGACATTTGTATTCCTGCACTTAAGTAAATGAAATAGTTACTCTCTTTGCTTTCCTCTAAGATGTGATTGAAGCAGCATTCATATCAATGAGGAACATAAATTGTCACGAATGGATAAGTATTTTGGATTAAAGATAAATTCCATAGCTGAGATTAGCAGGAGACAGACTGTGTTTTGCCATTCTGAAACCTGTAGAATGCGTCCCACTGAGAGCAGCTCACTGCTGTGGATTGTCAGTATTAGAAAGCAGTTATGATCATGTTAAAAATGTTCTGAAACTGGAAATGGTTTCTAGAGTTCACAAAGAAGGGTTTGGGATCTTCAAGAATGAGGGATAAGAAAATTCTGTTTCGTTACATGCTTTACGAGCTGACAGGTCGCTGGGTGGCAGTGTTGCTTGCATATTTGTGGTCATTCTTTGATAAATGTGGATCCCTGACTTGCTGGAAAGGGGAAGTTACCTTTGGCTTGTAGTTAACAGAAAGCAAAAGATACTGTTTTGTTTTTAACCAAAATTGAAAATAATAGCTAGAAGTGATGCTTTAGTATTATMATCCAACTCAGATCCAGGGTGGTTCTTGGTCAGTTGGTTTTACAGAATCTTTTTGTAGCAGTGCCTAACATGTCATTTAGATTTCATTGAAATGTATGGTTCAGAGGTGGACACAGTGGTGCCCATCTGCAGACTCAGCTACTCAGAAGGCTGAGACAGGAGGATTGCAAGTTTGAGGCCAGCCTTGGAAACTTAATGAAACCCTGTCTCAAGGTAAAATGAGTGAAAAGGATGGGATATAATTCAGCAGTAAAACACTCCTGGGTTCAATCCTTAGTGCAGCCAAGAAGTGTTGAGACTTGAGCTGCAGTGAAACAATGATGTCTTTCAACACCCATTTGGTGTGTCAGCCAGCGTTAGAGTCCCAAGTCACAGGGGTATAGTCTTAAACTAGAATTTGATACTTTAAAATACTCCTGGAATAGGCATTGTTACCGTCTGCCTAGTTGTCTCAGCTCCAATAGCACCTCTAGTAGAAAAGTAAGGAGGAAGTGATTGTAGGCRTCTTGTCACTTGCATCTTTAATCTTAATCATGAAACACGCCTTTGCATTTAGTAGAGCTCTTGTTTTGGTGTTATGGAAAAATCTTGATTTTTAGTTAAAACCATTCAATTTGGTGTTTCAATATGAAAATGTCCTTGAGTACCAGGTGTTTTCTCAAGGCTGAGCAGTGTTTAGTAATTCTCACCCATCTGTGCAGGAAATGAAAACTACTCAGGTTACATATGGCCTCTCCTGTTGGCACAGCTGCCTCTTTCATATGATGCCATTTGATGTAAATGACTTGAGCTTCAACCTCCAGATGCTTGTGCTGTTGTGGGAGGACAAAAATGCCTCTGTGAATGCACTGGCTTATATAATCCTTAAAGAGATATTTGGCCCTCAACTTCTCATAGTGAATGAGGCAAGATAGTTTTCAACCGTGGGGACAACTGGAGACCATCCTTACATTTGCAATATAGAAACAGTCTAAGTAAACCTGCACTGCTGGATAGTAGGATTGGACTCATGCCACCAGATCTGCCTGCCTGCAAGTGTACTTGTGGACCCACTTTAGTCACCTCAACCAGCACATTCCTTTGTACTTGTCTGAAACTATAGCCTGCTTTGCCTTGCTGCTTGGGATTCTCTGAATCCTCTTCCTTTTTTTTTTAATCTTTATTTTACGTTTGTGTGGTACTGAGGATCGAATCCAGCACCTTGTTAGGCAAGTACTGTACCACTGAGCCACAACCCCAGCCCCCCTTTCTTCCTTTTGATTCATTCACTTTGACCTCCCCAGAGGTAGTCTTAATAACTCTAAGAAACATGTCATTTAATTGCTAAATGGACATAGGATAATTTCATCTGCTGGTATAGTGAAATAATTTCTATAAATAAGGAAATTCCCAAGGAAAAAATGCAGTGCACCATGAAGGATGATATTGTCAAGTCTGTAGTTTGGGACTATTTTGTTTCTGCTTTTTTTGAACAGAAGTGTTTTGTGAAACATACTGTTATACAAGTATAAGAGACTGAAGACTTTACAAAGCAGATTAGGAGATAAAAAAAACTTTCACTTGCTTACAATGGTGCCTAACATGACATACTTTCAAGGCATTCTTTAAGTGTTTTTCAGAAAGATACTATTATCCTTTATAATTAAAGAAGTGATGGCATATCCTTGCAAGGTTACCCAGCTCACCAATGGCAAGAATTGAAACCATGGGATGAGAATCTAGGATATGCTCTTAATTCCTGTAATAATGGCAAGAGAATCTTTGATGCTATGCCCTCTTAAATTCCCAAAATGGTATAGCAAAACAATAGGGTTCTAGCTCTGCCACCTACTAGCTATGGTATTTGTCAATTAGGCTGAAGGAACTCAGATTGTACAATTTAGCATTGTGGCAGCCAGGAATTGAAACAGGCAGTGATTAAGGTGGAAAAGTCTTCAGTCAGTCTAGAAAACAACGTGCACTTTAGTTGGATAAACTGGAAACAGTGAGGCATCTATCTATAGGGGAAAAAATGACTTATGATCCTAGAAAAAGTCAAAGAACATGGACACTGCATTGCACTTTTTAATTGCAAGGGTAGTTTTAAATAAAAGAAAGCACCTTCCAGAAACTACAGTAGCAGGAAAAGATTCCATCAAGCATTTACATAGTAAATTTTTATATAATTTTACAAGATTCTTGATCTTTACTTGAATCTATTCATAAGGAAAAAGGAGCCCCCTCAGGTGTTTTTTCTGCTTGCAGAGGCAAACTAAAGGACCTAAAATTGGAGGCAAGCCTTGATGCTTGAGAAGGGGTAAGAAAAACTGGTAAGAGGCCATTCATAAATTCCATTGTCTACTCTGACGCATCAGATGACCCTTACATAAGAATCAAAGGGCAAACTACTGTCCTTAAAAATACAATCTCAAAAGTTGTAGCTCTAAATTATAGTAATACGTGTGAGTAACTTGGACTGCTGGATATGAAAAGACAATACTTGGAGTCATCTGAGGTCTGAATAGACAAATACTTTAGAGGAATTCTCTAGGACTGTCTGCCCTCTACTTTGGCTTTTTTTTTCTTAATTCACTCTGTTTTTTTTTTTAGTTGTTGATAGACCTTTATTCTATTCATTTATTTATATGTGGTACTGAGAACCAAACCCAGTGCCTCATATGAAGCAAGCGCTCTACCACTGAGCCACAACCCCAGCCCTCTACTTTGGCTTTTTGAATAGGCTTCTCTGCTCTCCTCCTGGCAGGGTCAATAGTCAAGGAAAAGGGCAACAGTCCTTAGACACTAATCAGCTGGGGAAAGAGTTCATTGGCAAAAGTGTCCTCCCAAGAAGGGTTCACACCAAGTGGAGAGGACATGTCACTGAAAGGGGAAGGGGAGCCCTCATATCCACAGTCACTATAAGCATCCAGCAGGCAGGAAGATGGCTTCAGATAGTGGCTGGATGAAAGCAGATTAGAGATGCCCAGCTCTGGAATGAAGTCATCTTCTACAGGTTCTTCCTTCACCGACACAATGAATTCGGGGTGATCATTCTCAGAGGGGCTAAGAGGTGCTTCCTCAATTTTCACTACCACATTAGTTTGGCTTTCTGTCTCAGAGGGCATCTCTAAGACTAGAGGTTTGGTGTATACATGGTCAAAGCGAATTAGTTCATTAATGGCTTCCAGCTTGGCTGATGACGTCCCCACTGACAGAGAAAGGGAGGCTGGTAAGGAACTAGGTCCTTCTGGATAGACCTCTGGTAGCTCCTCCAAGCTGGTAGACTCTGGGGAAGGACATTTGAAGAACATGACGGGGTCCAAGTTGTCCAGAATGCCCAACAGGATATCAGACTGCAAGAGGCAAAAAATAAGAGTACAACTATTAGACCACCTAGAATCTGTTAAGAACACTCTTAGTACTGGGCTTCAAAATGTAAACGGGGCCTGAGGCTGTAAGATGACCTTAGGACCCAAATGACTTGTTTATCCTTGTCCTAAGCCTCTGAGAACTAAGGAGATAGTTGATGTTCATCTCTAACCCACTAAAATGAACTTTCATCCCAAAACGAACTTTTTCCCATCTATCAGGGATGTCAGACGTCAAGGACACGAAATGACCCAGTTATACAGCTCTTAGTAAGACAGAATGGTCCCTACCTCAGAGTCTGAAGAGTCAACGCTGTCAGAATCCACGGGGAGATGTTCTGAGGGGATGACAACTGGGCCTGCACCTGCTGCAGAGGTGCACGTAGTCTGAGTGCTGCGGACTCAGCAGACCCGGCCACCGGCCTCACTCCATTCCCCTGAGAGGGAAAAACAGGGTGAGTAAACAGCCAGGAGTACCCAAGGAAATGCTTACCAGCCTCTCAAGAAAGATTATTCCTTAGAGATGAAACTTTTCCCTTACCATTGTTACTTCCATTTTCTTCAGATCTCAAGAGATGAGGATATGATTTTTTTTTTAATACAGTGAAAAAATTTCCCTCCCAAGCAAAGAATCAGGTAGGATCGAGAGTCTTAATGTTCCTAAATAATAATATTCTATAGTGATTTAAGCCTAGAATCTTCTGTTGCCAATCTTGGACCACTCAGACACCATCACTGAATTTTCCATTATCCACAGACTAAAACCCATCCATCACCACCCTTTTTCACACTCTTCAGTGAATCCTCTCTCTTTACTCATATTCATCAGACAGCTACTCTAGCTATAGTCTGATCCGACTAGCTCTCATACTCTGGTTCTCCTTGATGCTTCTATGGTACCTGTTGTTGGCTACTGCATTTGTTAGCACTTACTCTGAGAGAACCACGTAACTTAATTATTAGCACTTGGTACTATTCACTACCCACCTGAAATGTCATTAAAGAAAGGACATCCTGCCTACATAGAAATGTCATAAAAGTAAAGCAAAACCTCAAGCATACTTTTCATCAGAGATCCATAATGCAAACATAATTTAGGCCATTTCACTTGGAATCAGTTCTCACATGTGACACCAACTTACCTTGGCCTCTGTCTCTTCAGCAACCAGGGCATCCATCCCCAAGCGCAGTCGTAACTCCTGGTTTTCAATTACAAGGCCATGAGTTTTCTCTCGTAAAAGCTGATTTTCTAGCAAAAGTTTTTGGTTCTATAAGAAAATTGGTAAGAGGCTATTTAAACATCTAATTCTTTCACTTGAGAATCCACCTGAAGTTTTTCTACATTGGTTTTCTTCTTGAAATTTTAGAAAACTCCACATTTATGCACTTGTTCACAGTAGGTATTAGAAGGCTGGCCATAATTATGAAAGACATAAAACCTATTTAAGAAATGCCATTTCATGGGGTCAAAAATAACAATGCGTGCTGGGGTTGTGGTTCAGCGGTAGAGGACTCGCCTAGCACTTTTGAGCCTTGAGTTGGTCCCCAGCCCCACATAAAAATAAAGGTATTGTGTCCAACTACAACTAAAAAATATTTTTTAAAAAATAACAATACATCCAACTGCAAATTGGATTTCAGCAAAGGATAACTTTTAGCTTTAATTTAGATATATCTTTTAAATATCATAACTTTTTAAAAAGTAAAAAAAATCTTACCTTGAACTGAAGGTTAAAAAATGGTAGTGATGGACTATAATACCAAAATATATTTTAAAAGTAAACTGATACCGAAATGATTCAAACTTTAAAAAGAACAATCTAGGGACTGGGGATATAGCTCAGTTCATAGAGAGCTTGCCTAGCATGCACAAGGCCATGGTTTAATCCCCCACACCACAAACAGTAATCAAAAGAACATAAATAACCCTTGTATTAGATAGCAGGTGAATCCTAGAAGGGAAAGGGAACTTTTGGCCAAGCCAAGAAGAATCTAAAGTTAAAGCAATGATTTCCTTTCTGCCCTTGCTAACTTCTTTTTTTTTTTTTAATTTTTTAATATTTATTTTTTAGTTTTGGGCAGACACAACATCTTTGTATGTGGTGCTGAGGATCGAACCCGGGCCGCACGCATGCCAGGCGAGCGAGCGCGCTGCCGCTTGAGCCACATCCCCAGCCCCCCCCTTGCTAACTTCTTAGCACTCACTGACTACATGCTGTGAATACATGTAGCACCAAATTCCAGAGGGTCAGTCACTTCCAATCTCTACAAGTGTCCTCATTCCAACTACCTATCTAACCTAACTTGGTTAAACTTTAATTACACATTCAAACAAGATCTAAAAGGGGCTAAAACAACTTGGGACAGAGCAAAATATCAAGATATTCACCAAGGAAAGACACACAATGTATAAGAGTTTGGCCTTGAGAAGTTTTACCTCTTCTTCCAAATCTACTACTTGTTGTTCCAGCTCACTCATCCGAGCTTTCTTCCGATCTCTGGCAGTCTGTGCTGCTACTCTGTTTTTCAGTTTCCTGAGAAGGAACATACCACACTGAGTCATCTCAAACCTTATTTATATCTTTATTTGAAAACTTGGCCAGCTGGTGCTTTCCTTTTAATTTACAGTATAAGGCAAAGCAATGGTAAAATACTTCAGGCTCCTCCCTACCATAAAACCAAAAGTACAGCCTTCTGTCAGTCTAGATTGAAGACTTGCTTTATTCTCTCCCATCTGGCGTCATCCATCTCGGCTCATCCTGGCCATGGCATCAGGACTGAACACAAACCCAATTCATGTTGCATCATAAGAATCTTTTCCCGTCCCCCCTTCCCTCCCCCACTGCTTCCTGATTCCAGTTTTCTCTCACAGGACCCAGCCTGGACAGATTAAATCTAGTGAAGGTTGCAATGGCTATGACACAAGCTCTCCCTCCCCAAAACCAACTCAAGACTGCAGTAGGCGGATGACTGTTGCTCTAGGTTTGAGATCCTAGGCGGTGTCCTGACGAACGGACCCGTGTCTGGCTGGAGGAGCCATGTCTTACACCACAAAAGGCACTGTGATCATGATCATAAAAGAATGAACATTTGCGAAGGACCAAGTGCCAGGCACATTATATACGCCTCTCATTTTAAAGCCACTGACGAAGCTTGAACCTTAGCACTTCCAGCTTTTTCAACAGCTGTCTTTTCATCTCTGCGCCCCTCCAAAACAGTAGGTAAATCAAGAAGAGGCGAATCGACTTCACGTAACAGCCCCAGTTTTCAGAGAGGCAGAGCGACCGTTCTGTGGTCACTCAGCAAGGTCTGGAACACAAGCCCGCATCCCCAGCTCCAGTCAGCTCTAATGAATCAGGAAAAAGTAACGAAAACCGGCCTGGGAAGCCCTGGACTCCACCCTGCACTGCGGGTCCGGTCAGTTCAGCCTTCCTGCCCCGCCCTGCCCTGCCCCGCGCCACGCTGGCACTGGACCGGCCAGGCCCGGGGCGCTCGAGTGCGGCGGGGTGGCCAACTCCCGGCACCCGCCCAGCCCCCTGTCAGGACTTCAGGGCTATCCTAGACCCCGGCCCTGCGCCCACCTCCTCAGCGCCTTCTCCTCCGGGCTCAGGTGTGTGAGGCGCTGTCGCTTGCGCGCCTGGGGCGGCCCCCCGCTTGCCGCCTCGGGGCTGGCCCCACTCTGACCCGGCACCATGAGCGGCAAGGCCCGGCCGGCCGGGGTTCCGGCGGCGGCGGCGGCGGCGGCGGCGGCGGCGGGCTGGCCAGATAGAAGCAGTACTTTGGGGGCCCCAGAGGCCGGGCTCGGCGCCGCTGCCACCACGACCATCGCCAACGACCGTCTACGCGAGTGCACGCCGCCGCCGCCGCCCAGCTGCCGGCCAGCCGCGCCCAGCCTTTCTAGGGTCGTGGCCGAAAGCGATTGGCCAGCGCCCCTTGACGCGGGGGAGAGCTCGCCGCCCATTGGTCCGACGGGTCCACCCGGGGCGGGGCCTGGGCGCGCGGCGTGGCGACCGCGATCCCCGGTAGAAGGAGCTGGGGGCCTTTCGGCTCTGGTGACTCGAGGGACACCGCGCGGAGACTGAGGGGACCTCCGGGGGGGCCCGAGGCTGGTGTCGCGTCCTCAACAAACGAACGTCTCCCCTAGGCTTACGCATTTTGTACCCGAAATGCCAGACTTTAATTCAAAACCAAGAGATTTCCAGACTTTATTTTTACCGAGACTCACAGATGATGACCTCAACCTCACCACAGTTTATCTCGTGCGTCACTTGGAGCCCCGTGGAGCGGAAAACAGGGTCGGATCACAGATCCGGCCTTGGGTTGCGGGGAAACCCAAAACCCCTGGAAAAAAATTCCGCGAAATAAGAATGCACATTTCAAATTGAGTGCCAGGTGCTTCTGAAAGAGGGGTTTCCATGCAGCAAAAAGGGAACAATTTTGGCACACGAAATATTAAAATGGAAAAATCTGAGACAACTTCTCATATATGCATGTCCCCTCTCATTTTTTCTTTTCCTTTTTTAAGCAAACTAACAAAATGTTCAGTTCCTTGGAATTTCAAAGCAAAGGTTTTAACAAGAGCTTCCTCCTCTATGTTAAGCAACATTCTGGATTCTAGGGATGCAAAGATTACTAAGAACCGGTTGTTGGTGGAAATTATGCAGAAAGTGAACGCTTAAGACACCAGAGTTCTAAGTAATTGTTTAGTGAATTAAGTCAGATTAACTCCCAATTCTTTTTCTGTGGGGAGGGAACAGAATGTGAAGAAGGAAGACCTTTTAAAGGGACACAATTTTGTTTTGTTTTGTTTTGTTTTTTCTTTTTTTGTAATTCCCAGGACTGGACTATGTGTCTCCTAACATGTATTTTCTTCTTCCTTTTTGGAATGGGGAAATCAGGAACTATTTCTTTGAACTGGACTGGCCCTCTCAGGAGGTCCAGAGCACACATTGTTTCTGTGGGTTGGAAAAGAGGTAGGGGTAATCAGAGTTTCTTCAGGACAAAGAAACCCGCCTCAGCTTTAATTTCAACTTTAATCTTATCATGAGCTACTGGGTGCTCAACCCTGGCCTCTGGGATCTTTTGGAAGAAGTCTTTGAAGTATCTTCTGGTTGAGACCTACAAGTTTATGCGAAAAAACTGGGAAAGCTGTGAGGCTCTGAAGAATGTGGAAATTTTTAAAAACTTAAATCATTTAGGCATAAAAAGAAGATGCATGCAGTCCATATTAATCTAGCAGGGTAAGAATGAGCAACTGTGGAGAAGGCCCAAGATGTGGGGGTAGAGGAGAAAAAAATGGTGGATGCTGTTTTAGTCTTGGCTAACCCGACAGAGAGGGAGTGTTGAATTTGACTCCCCACAATTTGAGGAGCAAGGACTGAGGATTGAACCCAGGGGCACTCCACCACTGAGCCACATCCCTAGCCCTATTTTATATTTTATTTAGAGACAGGGTCTCACTGAGTTGCTTAACACCTCACTTTTGCTGAGGCTGGCTTTGAACTCCCGATCCTCCTGCCTCAGCCTCCTGAGCCGCTGGGATTCTAGGTGTGCGCCATTGCGCCTGCCCCCCCACCCAATTTTTTTCAAGGCTTTTTATCTTTTGGACAAACATTTAACATCACACTGAAAACAGTAATTTGACCCTCTGTGGATTGCTGTCCATGAAATCCTTATTTTATTTAATTTTTTTTTTTTTAAAGAGAGAGTGAGAGAGGAGAGAGAGAGAGAGAATTTTTAATATTTATTTTTTAGTTCTCGGCGGACACAACATCTTTGTTGGTATGTGGTGCTGAGGATCGAACCCGGGTCGCACGCATGCCAGGCGAGCGCGCTACCGCTTGAGCCACATCCCCAGCCCATTTATTTAATTTTTTTAAGAGAGAGAATTTTTTTAAAAATATTTATTTTGTAGTTTTCGGTGGACACAACATCGTTATTTTATTTTTTTATGTGGTGCTGAGGATTGAACCCAGCGCCCCGTGCATGCCAGGCGAGCGCGTTACCGCTTGAGCCACATCCCCAGCCCCTAAACATTTATTTTTTAGAAGTAGTTGGACACAATACCTTTATTTTATTTATTTATTTTTATGTGGTGCTTAGGATCAAACCCAGGGCCTCACACATGCTAGATGAGCATCTACTGCTGAGCCCTCCATGAAATTGTATAGTCAAGGACAAACCCTTGAACAGTTTCATATTCTCTGCTCAAGATCAACCTGATAATTCTTGCATCAGATGCCATTAATTTTTGTAAACATTCACTAGGCCCCTCTGATAAGAGCTATGAAATAAGTAAAATACAAAGGTCTCAGTCTTCGTGACATATGAGAAGCAGTGATAATCAAATAAACAGTAAAACATTAGGTTTATGGGCTGAGAGAGCCCTTTGCAGCAGTCACAAGGCTGGGGAACCTATGCCTGGCAATGCAAAGAAAAAATAAAAAAGCAACAATCTAAAAGCTAAAATTCAGCAGCTGCTCTTTCTTCTATGATATCCACTACCTATTGAGCACTTGAAATGGGTCAGAGTTAAATTGCTTCATGCCCCAAAATGTGAATGTACTTAATACCACTGCACTATACCCTTAGAAATGTGTTAAAATATTAAATTTCATGCTCTGTGTATCCAACCACTATTAAAAACAAAACCAAAAGAGGGGCTGGGAATGTGGCTCAAGTGGTAGGGCGCTCGCCTGGCATGCATGGGGGCACTGGGTTTGATCCTCAGCACCACATTAAAAAAAAAATGTTGTGTCCACCGAAAACTAAAAAATAAATATTAAAAAATTCAAAAAAGTGTGCTCCAAATATGAAACACATTGGGTTTGAAAACTTAATATTTTAAAAAAATTGTAAAATATCTCTTTGACCCATGTTGATTTAATGTTGAAATGAAGGTATACTCAGCTCTGGCAGGTTCTGGTTTTTGTTCATTTGTTTTTGGTTTTGTTTTGTAGTTTGGGTATTGGGCATTGAACCCACTGAGCCACATCTCCAGTCCTTTTTATTTATTATTTTTTATTTTGAGACAGTGTCTTTCTGAATTGCTTAGGCCTTGCTAAGTTGCTAATGCTAACCTTGAATTTGTAGTCCTTCTGCCTCAGCCTCCTAAATCCTGAGTCATTAAGATTACAGGTGTGTGCCATAGTGTTGTGCCTGGCCTTTTTTTTTTTTTTTTTTTTTTTGGTACCAGGGATTGAACCTAGGAGTGCTCAACCATTGAGTGACACCCCAGCCCGCTCTGTATTTTATTTATTATTATTATATTTTTTATTATTTTTTAAATTTCTTACATACATGACAATAGTGGAATGCATTACAATCATAATTATCCACTCACAGCACAATTTTTTGTAACTCTGTATATAAAGTATGTTCACACCAAATTATGCCATTATACATGAGCTGCTATTATTATGATGATTATTATTACATTACAATTCTTAACCATTCTGTATTTTATTTAGAGACAGGGTCTTGCTGGGTTATTTAGAGACTTTGAATTTGTGCTCCTCCTGCCTCAACCTCCTCAACCACTGAGATTACAGGTGTTCGCCAGCACACCCAGCACTCCTAGTAGGTTCTTGACTAAGCCACCGAAAGGAATTTCAGGACACATCAAAAGAGGCACAGCCAGATGCAGTGGCACATGCCTGTAATCCCAGAGGCTCAGGAGGCTGAGGCAGGAGGATCGTGAGTTCAAAGCCAGCCTCAGCAGGAGCGGGGCCACTAAAAAACTCAGTGAGACCCTATCTCTAAATAAATACAAAATAGGGTTGGGGACTTGACTCAGTGGTTGAGTGCCCCTGAGTTCAATCTCCAGTACAAAAAGAAAAAAAAAAATAGAGGCACAAAGAAAGATATATATAAGAAAGTGAAGAGATTTATGTAAGATAGCACATGATAGAGCAGAATATACATTCAAAGGGAGAAAGAATGTGGGTACTTAAGAAAGAGACACATTTTGGGGATCTTGCGTTCTTTTCAAAGGACTTTTTGTAAATAGTGAACTTGAGAAGTAGGGAGGTGGTGAGGTCAATTCTATCAATCAACCCCATGAGCCCAATTCTATTAATCATGGAGCACAAAAGACAGGTCACAGTGGTCTGGTTCTTTCAGGCTCTCTAAATTAATGTCATCTGGTCAAAAGATAATATTTGGAATTTATTCATATCATAAGCCTATAACAATATTTTCCCATGACTTTACTTAGTCTAAAGAAAATATGTAGGGGCTGGGGTTGTGGTTCAGTGGTAGAGTGCTCACCTAGCATGCATGGGGCACTGGGTTTGATCCTCAGCACCACATAAATGTAAAATAAAGATATTGTGTCCACCTAAAACTTAAGAATAAATATTTTTTTAAAAAGAAAGAAAGAAAGAAAAAACTATATAGTGTAAATTAGCAATGCGACCAGCTTGGTAATTAATGTCTGTAATTGAAGCAACTTGAGAGGCTGAAGCAGGAGGATTGCAAGTTCAAGGCCAGCCTCAGCAACTTAGTGAGACTATCTCCAAAAAATAAAAAGGTCTGGGGATGTGGCGCAAGCGGTAGCGCGCTTGCCTGGCATGCGTGCGGCCTGGGTTCGATCCTCAGCACCACATACAAACAAAGATGTTGTGTCCGCCGAAAACTAAAAATAAATATTAAAAATTCTCTCTCTCTCTAAAAAAAAAAAAAAAAAAGGGGCTGGAGATGTCACTCAGTGGTAAAGCACCACTGTGTTCAATTCCCAGTACCCAAAACACACACAAAAAAACTATCAATATAAGTAGGTATTAATCACCTAGACTCAGAATATTCTAAGATTCGAGAGTGTTGTAAAGAACTTTGGCTCTCTGATCACACAGCTGGCTGTCAAGATGGTTCT